CTTTGGGAAAAGGATTGGCTCTAAGGGTTGGGTCTGTCGGGCTGGGACTTGAAGCGCGAGGACTCAGCGTGGGCTGACGGAGATGCGTGGCTTGCTGCGCATCGCAGTCCGACTGCGAAGGCACTTCGCGTGGATTGACTCAGCTGTGACTGTTAGGTCGATTCAGCAGGCGATTACAACCAACTTAGAACTGGAACGGACAAGGGGAATCCGACTGTTTAATTAAAACAAACTATTGCAATAGCTGGTGACTGGTGTTGACGCAATGTGATTTCTGCCCAGTGCTCTGAGTGTCAAAGTAAAGTAATTCATCCAAGCGCGGGCAAACGGTGGGAGTAACTATGACTCTCTTAAGGTAGCTAAAGGTCTTGTCATCTAATTAGTGACGCCCATTAATGGATTATGAGATTTCCAATGTCCCTATCTACTATCTAGCGAAACCACAGCCAAGGGAACGGGCTTGGCAGCAACAGCGGGGAAAGAAGACCCTGTTGAGTTGACTCTAGTCTGACTCTGTGAAAAAACATGAGAGGTGTAGAATAAGTGGGAGGAGCAATCCGCCGGTGAAATACCATTACTCTTATCGTTTTTTTACTTATTCAGTGAAGCGGAGCTGGACCTCAACGTCCACTTTTTAGCATTAAGATCGCTCTTCTGCCGGTCGATCCGAGCCGAAGACACTGTCAGGTTGGGAGTTTGGCTGGGGCTGCACGACTGTCAAATGATTACGCAGGTGTCCTAAGGTGAGCTCTCAATGAGAACGGAAATCTCATGTAGAGCTAAAGGGCAAAAGCTCACTTGATTTTGGTTTTCAGTATGAATACAAACTGTGAATCAATCCCTTAGTCTTTACGAGTTTTAAGCTAGGGGTGTCAGAAAAGTTACCACAGGGATAACCCTAGCCTTATTAGGCAGTTTTACCCACCCTCTTGGCCATACCCTACCTCAAGAACTCTGAGGTTTCGATATTGGAAAAGTCACTCGGACATATTCGGGAAAATTGCAATTACGCTCCCTGGTAAAACGGCAAAAATTCAAAGTTTCTTGGACGTGTTCTAGAAAAACGCGACTTGACCGCTGATAAGAAGGGAAAAATCGAAGAATCTTGGACATCCTCGTTTTTGCTCCTGACTGGGAACTGAAAAATCTCTTTCATGTTCAAGAAACTTGTGTTTTCACCCTTGAATACGTGGGATAAAAGACATTCGAGAAAGTATGTTTTCGCCTCTGACTGGATTGGAAAAATCGAAGTTTCTTTAATATGTTCGGCAGAATCCAACATTCTCTTCTGACTAAGTTTAGAAAAATCGAAGTCTCTTGGACTTGATCACAGAAGGTCCCGTTTTTGTTCCTGAATAGAAGTAAAAAATCGAAGTGTCAGGAACATGTTCTCGAAATTCGTGAATTCGCTCCCTGGTAGTAGTTAGCGGAAAAATCCAAGTCTCTCGGACATGATCACGAAAGTTCCGTTTCACGCCTGACTTGAGAAGTTAAACAAAATTGCAAGAATTGATGTACTCTCACTCTCACGAAGTATTTTTTTGCCCATCCTTCACTGGAGAAAGATTGTGCACAAACCCAGAGACACATTCATCTGATTTGTCCATACCTTTTAATAAACAAGAATAAATCACAATAAATTATCACACTGATTTAAACCACGCTTAATTTTAATAATTAGAGTGTATTAAATTATAATGCATATTATTCAGTTTATCCCACTAAATAACCCGGACTTTAGCTTGCTCCGCATGGTCATGACGTCATCTCTACCGGTGATAAAGCCCCCGGCAACAAATCCTACAACCCTAATTCCGGACACGTTAGTGACGGCAATGCAACCGGAATTTGGTTATGCAGCAGGCATGCATTTTTAAAAATGTGCCTCATCAGTGGTATGGTGACTTTGAGCACCATCTACATTCTACAAGTTTGAGCATTTGGCATTGCATATAATATGAGGGCTAAACCTGAGAGACTCATTGAAAGAAACACAGAAAACTCATGGTTAGAATACCTCTGCTATGGCTGTGAGCTGTGGCTGATCAGCTGACTTTAAAGATAGTCATTAGTGAGACACCTGACCAATTCTGTGAATACACTATAGTACAGCGATTTTCACCAACAGATCAACCTACAGATATATATTTAGGTCATAAAGATGAGTGAGTATCATATCTATCAACTTTGCCATCAGGTACTTCAAAATCCTTAAAAGTCAAATAGGCTCTATCAGCCTAAGAAAAAAAGAAGAGAATATATGAAAAAATACATGAAGAGCATATGCAATGGAATATAGGAAACACAAACAAGCCATTGAGAGCTTCCAGCTCTCAAAACAGAGTATGTCTGTATTTCTGTCATGACTGACATTACTACATATTACTAAGCATATTTCCTATTGCTTGAACTGCGGTAAAGAATAGTGTAGGTAATCATCAAGCCCCATTCACCAGTAGACTGGAAATTAAAAAACATGGCCAAGTCGATTCAAGCTGAAGACACTGTCAGGTTTGGAGTTTTGCTGGGGCGGCACAACTGTCAAATGATAATGCAGGTGTCCTAAGGTGAGCTCGATGAGAACAGAAATTTCATGTGGGACAAAAGGGCAAAAGCTCACTTGACTTTGATTTTCAGTATGAATGCAAACTGTGAAAGCATGGCCTATGGATCCTTTAGTCTTTACGAGTATTAAAATAGGGGTGTCAAAAAAGTTACCACAAAGACAGGTAAACAAACGGTAGGCTCCCCTGGAACGGGATAATTCTCCTAGTACAGGGTGTAGTGCTAATAGGGAGTCTTGCGATCCACATCATGAAGCATGGGTGGTCAAAGTGAAGGGGGAAATAAATAATAATAATTGAGGAGGTACGCCAGTACATCGCCCGAAATTTCACTCTCTTCATGGAACCGATGACTGCGAGGATACGAGCAGGGGTCGTACCACGAAGGAGTTGCAGGCGGAAACCTGAGAGAAGTTCTCGGGAATCAACGGAGCATGCAGGGGAAGCCTCCGACGTACCCTGTAACTCTGCGGGGAAAGTGAGTGCAAGTCGGAGGCCGGCGTAAAATCGGCGGAAGGCAACACATAAGAAAGTGCAGGTCCTTTTTCGAAAAAAAAAGACCGTGGTGCGCAATGAGTGTTAGATGGGAGTTGGAAAAAACCAACCAACTGTGTGTCACTAGAGGAATTAGAGCCTTTCTGGAGGGATATCTTTGAGAAGGAGTCGGTTGATTATGAAAGGGTGCCTGACCCTATTGGGTTTGTCCTATTGGACCTTATTTATCCAGTCACCCAGCTTGAGCTTGATAAGACCATAAAAACTGCGAAGCCAGATAGATGCACCAGGTCCCGATGGTATGGTTCTAACTAAAACTGCTCCCAATGAAAGAGCTGAAAGCACGTCTCAACTTATGGCTACTGTCAGGGTACTGCCCTTGCATCTGCTGTTCAGGCAAGCCAGTATTAACCCCTAAAGTTCGGGAAGATATCAGACCACCAAAAGACAGACCCTATCACCATCGCAATTTTTGTTATCAGGTTATTTCTCAAGCTCATGGCAAAGCGAATTGATGTTTCCATGCCTTTCTCGGACAGGCAAAAGGCATTTCGTTCTCCAAACGAAGAACTGAAGAAGCACGACAAGTGGTGGCCATTAATGAAGCCCAAGCAACAGCAGCCGAAAATGAAGCAACCATTAAAGTGAATGCCGGATCAGAAAAAGTCCTGGAGTCAAAAAAAGACATAAAACAAAAGCCATTTTTGCATAAACTGCCTGACATATCCACCAAACAGCCCCCATCTGAAGCGGAACACATTCAGCAACGACTTGCGCCGATAAAATTAAAAGGAGTAGAACGGCCCACCTTTTCGGGAGAGAAAAAAGCAGACTATGCACCATGGAAGCGGCATTTATGTCGGTGGTTGATGAGACAGCCATATCCACAAAAGAAAAAATGCTGCGCCCTCAAAATAGTTTGACAGGGAAGGCATTAGGGATGATCAAAGACTTAGGATTCACCAGCAATGCCTATGAAAGAGCAAAAGAGAAATTAGAGAAAAAGTATGGCGGAGAAATAAGACTTCAGATATCAAATCTGACAACACTTCGCAAGTGGCCAAAATTGAGACCACATAGCTTAGAGGACATGGAGGAGTTTCTGGCACTGTTAGCCAGCATATTGGTATCATTGCAAGATGCTGGTCGAGGAGCAGAGACAAACGAACAGAATCTTAATTTGACAGCGAAAGAGAAATTACTTGTAAAGGATGTTGAAGCATATAAATACTGGTTATTTGAACGAGCTAAACAAGATACCTTCGAGAATCTTGTGAGTTGGCTAGAAATTCGTGTGCAAATTATGGACGAGACCAAGGACGAAAGACAAGACGACAAGAGTGATGACAGGAGTGAGAAGAGAAGACGAGACCGGGGATTTGGTACCACTAACAGCAAGCAAGCAAAGATCTAGAGGATGTATAGTTGCAACCTGCAAAGAGGACCATCCACCATGGGTTTGTCAATCCTTTAAAAAGTTGTCTGTTTCGGAAAGAAAAGAGCTCATTTCTAAGACGAAACATCATATTGATGTTCTCATTGGGAGTGATCATCCTATTGTTCACCGTGTTCAACGAGAGGTACAAGATCCTAATGATGACGATCCAATCGCGCGACTGACCAACTTGGGTTGGGTCTGTTTTGGACCAGCACCGACCTGTGGTTTCCAGTATTGGTACTCGAACTCACACCACCAGGACATACCGAGCAGCAGTCACTGTCTTGCCCTCAGCTGAGCAAGCAACCAATGACATCCTTCGACAGTTTTGGGATCTTGAATCATTGGGCATCAAGGATGATTCTGGTCAACGGACATTAACACCTGACGAGCAAGCTGCCGTTGAACAAGTGCAAGAAACCCAGACGCTAATAAAAGACAGGCATTATGAAATCGGAATTCCTTCGCGAAAGAATGAGCCGCAGTTCAGCGACAACTACAATATGGCATTATCAAGGGTTGACAATCTAGAGAAGTCTCTGTCGAGGAAAGACCCCAAGGTGAAGAAAGCTTACCAGCAAATTATCGACGACTATGTTGCAAAAGATTATGTAAGAATTGTGCCCAAGAAAGAAGAAAGACAGTGGTTTCTTCCTCACTTCCCCGTCATCAGAGAAGATAAATCAACTACCAAGGTTCGCGTGGTGTTTGATGCCGCCGCTCCACACGAGGGAAAGAGTCTCAACGATACTATTCTACCTGGACCGAAGTTACAGCGGGAGTTGTCCGATGCGCTGATACAATTTCGTCGCGCCCCCGTAGCACTCTCAGCTGACATTTCGGAAATGTTTTTGCAAGTACGATTGCGAGAAGAAGATCGCCCCTTCCACCGATTCCTATGGCGAAGTTTCGACACCGCCAGAGAGCCTGACGTCTATGAATTTCAACGCTTTCCATTCGGTAACACGTCATCGCCATTCTGTGCCCAACACGTTCTGCAGACACACGTCCAAGCTCACAATACAGAATATCCGAAAGCTGCTGAGACAGTAGACAACTTAATGTACGTAGACGACGTACTTGATTTGTGTGAGACAACCCAAGAAGCCCAAGTGCTACAATGTGAACTGTCTGATGTCTTGCGCCGGGGAGGCTTTAGCCTAAGAAAATGGTCATCTAATAGGCCTTCAGTACTGAAGAACGTTCCGTTCGAAGACAGATCGGCGAGCCTTCAAATTAATGATGAAAACCTTCCAGCACAGAAGACGTCAGGGGTATTATGGAAGACAAAAGAAGATATATTTACATTCAAAGTCGAAATACCTGAGACCAAGGGAAGCCTGACAAAGAGAAACGTATTGAGTGCCATCGCCACCTTGTTTGATCCCCTCCAGTTCCTCGCACCCTTTACAGTACGTGTAAAAGTCTTAATGCAGGAGATATGGATGGCTGGTATCGGTTGGGAGGATGTCTTACTTATTCAACTCCAAATGAAGTGGAAACAGTGGCATTCGGAACTTCCGGAACTGTCGTAGTTTACAATCCCTCGCTGCTTGCGCAAATCAAATCCAAACGAAATTGACTTGCATGTATTGTCTGATGCCTCGGAGGACACATATGCAACTGCCGCCTACCGGGTTTGCCATTATCCTTCAGAACCACCCACTTCCTGTCTCATCGTTGCAAAGAGCCGTGTGGCCCCAATCAAAGCTATTACCATTCCTCATCTGGAATTAATGGGAGCGGTTCTCTCGACTCGTGTGGCAAATAATATCGCGCGGATATTGTCAATCGGAACGATCACGTATTGGACGGACTCGACTAATGTACTGTTTTGGGTCCATAATTAAAGCCGCAATTTTAATTCTTTTGTTGCCAACCGAGTTGGCGAAATTCAAAGAACAACTGACCCAGAGCAATGGCGGCACGTCCCTGGAAAACGTAATCCTGCAAACCTTTCTACCAGAGGCCTCTCCGCTAAAGACCTCACTGAGAGTAAATTCTGGAAGGAAGGACCAGAACTCCTCAAAGCTGATGAATCAACGTGGCCAGAGAGATTACCAACGAAAATCGTCGAAGAATGTGAGTCATGTGAAGAGAAAAAGGTGATAAAGACACATGTCACCAAAAACACCGACGAAAGTATCACGTCCAAAAATCTCATGGACCCCACCAAGTATTCTAGTCTTCAACATCTAGTCCGTGTTAGGGCATCGATACTACGTTTTACAAGCAACTGCAAGTTATCAAAAGAACGGGTAGTAAGCAAAACACTTACCCATGACGAGACAACCAAAGCCAAAATCTATTGGCTACAAAGAACACAAGTAGAGGCTTTTCCAGATGGCGAAAAACAGCAAACGTTAGCACGACTGAATCCTAGGAAAGACAAAGACGGATTGTTGCGAATGAACGGTCGTTTATGTTATGCAAACCATTTACCCTACGACAGCAAGCACCCCATTCTCCTACCAAAAGACCACCCAGTCACCAAACTCGTAATTGCCAACGGACACGCAAAACTCGGTGACGGCACTGGAACAGAGCACCTTCTATCAGAGTTACGCACGAAATTTTGGATCGTTAAGGGACGCCGAGCCGTAAGTGACATTGTGGAGGCTTGTCGTGAATGCCAACGTCGGTTTCGAGCTAAACCAGTCGGTCAAATGATGGCCCCACTTCCTGAGGCAAGATTGAAACTTCAACTCCGAGCATTTGAGCGTGTCGGACTAGATTACGCAGGTCCTTTGTTGACGAAACAAGGACGACGTAGAGCCAAAGCCAAAAGATACCTATGTCTTTTCACCTGCCTCAACACTCGAGCGGTTCACCTCGAAATGGCGTATTCCTTAGATACGGACTCGTTCATTAATGCCTTTATCAGGATGACCTCAAGGAGGGGGACGCCAACATATGTTGTGTCAGATAACGGGACGAACTTTGTTGGCGCGGAGAGAAAATTGCGAGAGTTATTAGAAAGGTTCGACCAAGAAAAAATCATCAATGAAACGGCACGACAGCACAACCGTATCAAATGGAAATTCAACCCCCCATCAGTGCCGCACTTTGGGGGAGTGTTTAAGCGATGATAAAGAGTAGCAAGAGAGCAATGAGAGCAATTCTTGGAGATGGGTGTGTAACAGACGGAGAGCTTCAGACAGCCATAGTTGGAGCTGAAGGACAACTCAATTCTCGACCGATAACTTATATTAGCTCTGATGGGAGTGACCTGACCCGGCTGACACCAAACCACTTCATCGTAGGACAGCTCGGGGGACAATACGCTCCAGAAGCTTTTGACGTTGAAGAAGCCCGCAATCCACAGAAAAGATGGCGTCGTGTTCAGCAACTACTCGGCTAGTTTTCGGCAACTAGCAACTACTCGGCCAACCACTCGGCTCAGCAACTACCCGGCCCGCTGGAGAAAGGAATTTTCACCAAATCTCAACAAACGTGGAAAGTAGTATCAACCACGACAGAATTTGAAGGAGGGAGACGTAGTATTACTTATGGATCCTAAAGCGAGACGTGGAGAGTGGCCTTTGGGACGTGTTACGGAAGCTCACACGGGAAAAGATGGTTTGGTTCGTGTAGTCAAAATGAGAGTCGGCAAAAGTGTTTATGAGCGCCCAGTACATCGACTGTGTCCACTCGAGTGTGATGATTGAAGGATTGGAAGACACGACGGAATAAACAAACTGGACTTAAGAGGAGATTGGTTAGAGCAAACACTTTGTATTCGGGAGGGGGATGTTTTGGAACTTTATAATCTTTAAAAACATTTTGGGACACCTGTGTCCTAAGCGTGCAAAGGACTCTTGGGAGTTGTTGTTTTGACAAAACGGCGAGAGAGACATTTTAGGCCTTTTGAGGACATTTTTCTCACATATTTTTTTGTAAATTATATACTTTGAAATCTTTTTTTTAAAATACTAAAAAATCCAGTGTGTCTGTTCTACGTTTGAGAACAGCATGTGAACAGAATCGGTATACCTGCTTGATCCATCAAGCAGGTATACCGATTTTGTTCACATGCTGTTCTCAAACGTAGAACAGACACACTGGATTTTGATCCATCAAGCAGGTATATGTTTATTTTGGAATTCCCTTTGAAGCAAAGGGATTAGTAAACAATGTACCCTAACCCCTAGCCCTAACCCACCTCTAACTTATTCATCCATGCACCACCTGCGGAAGGCGGCCTAGGGGTAAAAGTTTCAAAAAATGCCATTCCCTTGATGTGAAAAGCTAGGTATGAAAAACTTCTAGGTTGCGCTGATCCGGTGGTTGCCGTCGCGGATTTTGAAACCGTAGACGGTCGGTAGCATCTTTGATGGTCAGTAGCATCATTTTCGGCCTTGGAGTTTCAACGTCGATTTTGCGACACCTTCCGAATTTGTGACGAGACCTTACAAGAAGCTTGTTGCGGTTAGTATGGCTATACTTGACCTTTAGATATGCAAATATATTTTCGAATTTGCCGTAAATATACCAAAATACGTGAGCGCTCCACAAATTGATATTTATATATTGCTTATATTGGTTTATTTGTTTATCACACCGAACATGTGACAGTTCACTTCAAAATGGCAACATGCAGCTTCGGACAGTATTTAAGACAAACTGATATTTTTATAATAATTAAACCCGGAAGTATTTTCGATCAATAGTTGTTTAATTCATGCGTTTTGGTCGCAATGAATGCAACTAGTTATTAGTGTAGTTATATTAATAACACAGATTTAGGTAGAATGAGCAAAGTTGCTGGTAATATGTGGAAAAGATGCGTTCTTAAAGTACGGCAGGTTAGCATGCATTACGCATTCAACAGAAAAGAATGCTAACTTTTTGGGTTTTTTGGTCACAAAGTTTGTTAAATTCTAGTAAGGCCATATAAAAAAATAAAAGTAAACAAGGCATGAGGTTTTTTGGTATATATTTACAGAAACCTTTAATAAGGGGGTCCAATACCAAAATTTTTAGGAAAATTTTGAATTTTTCAATTTTTTAAAAAAGCAAGAATAATATACTTCTAACCCTCCTGCGTCACCTCCATAGCTTCAATTGCTCAAAACTAGCTCTAAGTTTTAGAAAAAAGGCAAATTCCTCACCATATAGCTAATTTTGTCCCTAGCAACGCCCTTAGCAACACTTGTTTTGTGTTAGTAATTTGCATATTTATTGCAGAATTTTTGCTTGTTGAAGAAGCTATCTTGTAGATTGAACATGAAGTATATATGCCTCACTTCAGTAATACTGCTGAACAGCTCTGAAGTCTGTAGGCGTTTTTTGACAAGCACATTGTTGTTGCAAACACAAGCGTATCAAAACTCTTTCGAATTGTTTAGCGATTTATTGGCCGTTTTTTTGTTCCCTTGTTTTTCTCTTTGGAAATAATCGTTCTTTATAATACCAAGAGAGGTTTCAACTAGGCAGAAAAAACGCAAGTTTCACGGAAATCATTTCCAACGAGCTAAAAGGAGTCGTGTTGACGAGGACAACAAAACAGCCAGTGGTGATAACCGATCTTCAACGCCAAACTCACCAAGCTCCAGCGATGCGAACTTTTCTGCCTCTGCCCGTAAAATTGGCACAAGGGATTCACAAGTACCCAACTGGGTATCGTTTCGTTGATTTTGGGATCCTGAGCGAAGTTTTCCAACACATGGTTTGTAAAGAATGTGGTGGTGGTTCTTCTTTATTACTTGGAGACAAGGCAGCCGAACAAAAAGGAAGTGCCTCTCATCTTCTGGTACACTGTCAACAATGTGGCTGGGTGTACACGTTTTATACCTCTAAGAAAGGGCAACATGGGTTTGATGTGAATAAAAGGTTGGTATACTCCATGAGAAGCATTGGGCAAGGTCTCTCTCCTCCGCAGAGGCTTTCGTCCTTTCGATTTATTGCGCTAGACAGTGGCGCGAAGGTAAACCGCTAGCTTTGAGATTCGCGGTCGACGAAAAAGCAGGGGGAGGAAGTGAAGAGAGGAGAGGAGAGAAAGCCTCTGCCAGATTTAGCTGGCAACATGGCGTCAAACCGGGGGGGCATTTTATCTTACTAATAAATATGGCGACGTTGAGGGATGTACAAGCTCAAAGAGATTTTTTGATAGCTCTTCGAAACAATTCTTTTTGCTGCCCTACTTGTGACAAGAATAATTTTAACTGCTTTTCTCACGAAGGACTACGCCAGCATTACAGACTTGTCCACAAGCAAGTTGAATTTTGCAACGGAATTGTGAAGAACGGTTATTTGTTGTTGCGTTCGTGGGCAGCTTCAGAGACAATGGATAATTTGTTGGTTCTGTCTGACAAACGAAGAGAGATTGTAAGTAAAATATTTCGTCGACTGTAATAAATTATTTCGTCGACTATAATATTCACATGCATAAAAATATTCTGAGTAATTTGAATTTGTTACAAATTAAAATTTTAGGGAGGTCAATTATACGCACTGTACTCCATCGAAGCCGATGAACTGAACGAAACTGTCGAGCTTTATTGTACAACTGACAAAGAAGCAGCGAAATTGTTTGGAATGTATTTGGACCACAAGGTTACCTTACCAAAAGTAGAAGAAAGCGGCGAGGGTATCAAGATCAAAGTTTGCAATCCATCAGTGACCTCTATTTACAATGTGTGGCGTGCTAGAAACAAAATTTATGTTGAAGCTGTCTATTTCCAGTCGGTGAGTATATATATTATTGTTAACATTTGCATAATGTTCAAATTTAAAGATGTAGTGATGTACTGTAGAGTGCTAACAAATACATAGAGTATGTATATATTCATAATTGTAGCTGACAGTTTATGTAACTAATGTAATTTGTTTTGTTTTAGAAAACCTGTGTTACTTCGTCTCCCACGCCATGCGAAAGTGTCTGGACAGATCTAGATAAATGCAAAATGCATATGCCAGATAATGAATCCGATAAAGAAGCATTCATCCTGAAACAGCTTTATGGTATGAATCCTTCAGGGATGGCCAACTGGAAGCTATACGATCTATAACTAAAAACAAAGATACGCTTGTATTGATTCCAACCGAAGGTGGAAAGAGTGTGGTTTACACTGTGGCAGCTGTTATTAAACAAGGACTGACTGTTGTAGTGGAGCCATTAAAATTTATCATGGAGGAGCAAGCAGAGAAACTGAGGTCAAAGCATGTTCCTGCATTTTTTTACAATTCATCACTGACAGACACAGAGATGGACTTTGTCATTAACACATTATGTAGACAAGACTTGCCTTATGCAATTTTGTTTACCAGCCTGAGTGCATAATGTCTAGCAAGCTACAGTTTGTCCTGAAGTCATGGAGTGATGCCAGAAAGCTGAGCTTCATTGCAGTTGATGAGGCCCACTGTGTTGATGCATGGGGCCATGGTTTTCATCCAGATTTTCTAAAGCTTGTCAGCATGAAACATTTTGCTGTTCCAATAATTGCCCTGACTGGCACAGCCACACAGAAGGCAATTTCAACAATTGTGTCAACACTTGCAATGGATATGCCAAGTGTTATTAAAGTTAAATGTGCAAGGACAAATTTGTTTTTACAAATTCAGAGCAAGAGTGAGAAACCTTTGAATCAAGTTGCTGATTTTATTACTGCAAATTGTCAAGGACAGAGGGGAATTGTATACTGTTCTCGTAGGAAGGACACAGTTGATTTAGCACATAAACTGAAGTTGGAGAAAATTGATGCTGTGTTTGTTCATGGTGGTTTGCCAGACGTAGATAGGAAAAAAACATGAACAAGCATGGGCTACTGGTACTGTCCATGTCATGTGTGCTACCAAATCATTCGGAATGGGTATAGATCACAAAGATGTCCGTTTTGTGTTGCATTTGTCATTTCCTGAAAGCTTGGAAGATTACGTACAGGAGATTGGAAGAGCAGGAAGAGATGGCCAAGCTGCACTTTGTGTGCTGTTCTTCCACCACAAAGACCGGTCATTCCATCTGCACAATATTATGCAGATTGATGACACAGGGTACTTGTCCTATAAGTATCAACTAATGAACAAAATGGTAGAGTACTGTACAAATTACACATGCCATCACAAGTTTATTCTGTCATATTTTAATGAAGATGTACTGGAATGTGAGGAACACTGTGACATTTGCACTTCAAACACAGGAATTACAGTTCAAGATATCACGTCAGTGGCACTGCTTATAATCAGGGGTCTGGAGAAACTTCAACAGGTTCATAAAAAGTATCCATTCTTCTCCTCACACAGTTCTTAATGGGATCTCCAACCATTGAGCTGAAAAGTCTTGCATTGGACAAAACTCCTGAATTTGGCATGGTGAAAGATCACTTTAAAAAGAAAAATGGACGGAAACATTTACAAGCAGTGATATACCACCTAATAATGATTGGAATCATCAGTGAAGTTCCTGTTGGTACATCAGACAACACAAGTATTGTGATAAGGGTTGGAAATGTTGCACGTCTTGTAGGTGGCAGTGAAAAATATTATTTTCACCAACCAATATTTTAATTTAGATGTACTCATCTCACTCAAATCAATTAGGGATAACCAATACCTAATTATATCTAATTATCAGCTGATCACATCGACATAAATCCGCATATAGTAATAGTATACTGGTTTCCAATATTATTACTCTAGTTTGGTTACTAAGTAAAAATTACCTACAACATTGAAAAGCGAAACATTAACTGTTCAGGTTGAAAAATAGATAAATGGCTTTGAACAGGATAACAGTCATTGGAATTCAGTATTTTACACATCCAGCAATAACTGATATTTCAGATCAGGAAAACATTCATACAATTTTGCTGTAAAATTATCTTGAACTTTCTGTGAACCCTTTTCTTCAACATCCAGATAGCACTTTGAAACTGGTGCACCTTCACATGGGTATGATGTAGGCAATGCCTCTGGTGATTTATGTGGGTGCAACATATCCATCTTAAGGCAGAACCATGAACCTTTAAGCTGGTCCAGAAGAGGGTCAGCAACAGCATGTGCAATTGTTGTGTGCACATCAAAGGCATCTTTTGATTTGTACCCATTTCGTACTTGCTTGAACAGATCAATGGAACCCATTAACCGTTTAACACATCTTCACTGAAGTATGACCTAAAAGTAACAACCATGTACAAGTGGATAGATAAATTACATATGAATAAAATAAATAACAGTACATGTAAAGTATCTGTATCCGAGGTATGGAATAAGTAAATCAATATACTGACAGTAGTTTTAATAAACTATTAACAGTACCTGAAACATAAGTTTTCAGTGGTTGTGCAACTTCTGCTTCCACCCAAGCATCCACTTCCAATCCACAGCCTCTTCTTCCTGTGACATTGATGCTACAATTCAGCCCAACAATTTTTCTGAAGGCAAGGGGCCATTTTCCAATTAAATTCACACAGTGTATGAAGCACTCTGTGAAATAATTAGGAAAGTTTAGTTGGGCATACATTGGTAGTTGGAGGAGAAAAGCAGTCTCTCTGGCCAACCCCCAGCAGTGACTGGTGGCCAAATCATACAGTTCAAGTAAAGGGACATAGAACAAAAACATTCTACTTCTGTACTTAAAACTGGGACAAGCATTTGCTTCTTGCAACCATAACTTGAACTGGTCAAGTAAAACTGATGTGTGACTGCCAGTAGCACGGTTGCATTGCGATAACATGTCTGAATCTGGGTAGAATTCTGACTGCTTGAACTCTATTACTGCTGCCAGGCCATATGCTCTTGCAGCATCCCGAACTGCCTCTCTTATTTTGTTTAAATTCCCCTCTGCAAACTTTTTTTTCTTGAAGGCCTCTTTATTCAGCCTTGATCTCTTCAATATTTTACATACTAAATAGTGAAAGCCACCTGGACCCTGTTCCTTAAAGCAAGCCTCTGCCAAGTAGCCCTTCGTATGCATGTCGCCAGGTATGACACCAACCCAATTATGAGTGCCAGATCTGGACATGACTCCACGATTGGTTTTACAAGTTCCAACATCACTTACAACACCCGTGAGGAATCCAGGTGTTGACCGTGTGCAGGCAGGACCAGTATCCTTAGATGTAGGAACAGTGGTTTCTTGGTCTTTAGATTGAAAAATGGGATCATAAAATGCCAAGTCATCATCTTCCTCATCAGAAACTAACGGATCCAATATTTCCGAAATTTCTGTGAGTTCCATTCTCTTAGCCACTGCCAATGGACTAGGCACATTTGTAAAAAGGGAGCCTCTTACGGATGCTCTGACATTTACCAGCAACTGGCATATTTCTTTGCTTTTCATGATGACACTGATAACCAGTGGAGTGATGCCACTTTTCTCCTTTGCATTGAGATTATGGCCAGCATGGAGCAAACATTCAACAAAGCAAATATTCAATTGCTCCACAGCTATGTGCAAAAAACTTCGACCTAGATGATCTTTCATCCTGTTGATATATGGTGTTTCAACCATTGCCTTCACGAACCGTTCAACCGTGTCAGTCTCAAAAGCTGTACACATGTTCATTTTTAATGAGTCATAAGTACTTTTAAACAAGGTTTCTTGCCTCTTAAATAATTTGTGAACACTGCTCACAGTTGTTTCAGGTTGGATCTCTCCACTTTCTCTCTCACTGTTTTCACCATCTTGCTCTGGGATATCAGATTCCCCTGTATTCTCATACCCACCATCAAATTCATCCATACCATGTTGTTCTGCATCTGACAATTGTAATTTGTATTGCTCGTTGTCTTGCATATGGTGATTCATTAACATAATGAATTCAGTATGATCCCATGCTTATTTCAGGCAAAATGACTTTGATTGTTTGTCAAAAGGTAGACTCCAAGATTTACTACTGGAATGTATTGAAAAGTCTTTGCTAAATTGATCTAATATAGCACAAGTGCCTGCAATGGTGCTATTGTTCTCTAATGATAGGGGCAAGATTGTTGTATCACTTTTTCTTGCAGACTGAGATGTATCAATATATGAGGAATTGGGAGAGATCTTCAAATCTGTAGACATGTTGAAAAGTTTTGATGATAGGCAATGTCACATTCCTTTTCAGTCATATCCTTAAGTGCTTTATCAGATGAGTCTAGTAGCTTGATTAAGTAGTGATCAACATGTGTGTTCCAGAGTTTAAGATGTTCATCATTATTTTTAATCGATATGTTATTGAAGGTAAACTTGGTGACATCATGCTGACTTTCAACTACCGTTTCTCTTGATAATAAAAGATTACTTACCCCTTCAAGGTGGGGAACCAGAAGTCCTCTCACTGTAAAGTTCAACATTTTATCACCACATTTTTTGAACAAACGGTGGTGCATTTTGTTTCCACGATATACAGGGTGTATCAAAAAAAATGTCCCAAATGTAAAATTTCCGTTTTGCAGGATATTTTGCAGAATTTGGCAAATTTTTGTGTTCCTAGAGATAGTTAAGACTTATCTGGTATACCTAGGCCAAGTTTGGTTTTTCATTAACAAAATTATGTTACCGGGGGGGTGGTTCCTTTCCACTGATATTGAGAGGGCTTGCGCGCGAAAATGTGAAGCTGAAATTGAGATATTATTTAGCTTTCTAAAAGTAGGAAAGCTTTTTAATAAACTGTCAAAGTTTCAAAAAAAATAATGCAAACTGGGAGCAACGCGCGACCTCTAAAAGTGACAAATATTTCATTGCGCGCAGTGGATTAAATGCATGGTTGATTTTAGCGTGACCGATCTCATGCAAGGCTGGGCAAATGAATAAATTAAAGCAAGAAACTGAACAAGAAGACGAAACGATTTAATAATAAGATTCTTATTCTTGATGTTAATCCTCAACATTTCCACCATTTCTTTCTAAGCAAACTGCGGCTCGTCTGAGCATGGTAAACACTGAACGGCGAACCACATTTGTCTGTCCTGCCTCAAATTATCCATTTCGTTCGAAATTCTTTCTTGCAAATCGCCTACGCTACCACCGGCAAATCTAGGCGAATGGACAGACAAATGGTTCGCTGTTCAGTGTTTAGTATGCTCAGACAATCAGCAGTTTGCTTAGAATGAAATGGTAAACATGCTGAGGATTAACATCACGAATAATTCGCTTTGTTTTTTTGTTCAGTTTCTCGCTTTAATTTATTCATTTGCCCAGCCTTACATGAGATCGGTCACGCTAAAATCAACGATGCATTTAATCCACTGCGCGCAATGAAATATTTGTCACCTTTAGGGGTCGCGTGTTGCTCCCAGTATGCATTTTTTTTCGTGAAACTTTGACAGTTTATTAAAAAGCTTTCCTACTTTTAGACAGCTAAATAATATCTCAATTTCAGCTTCACATTTTCGCGCGCAAGCCCTCTCAATATCAGTGGAAAGGAACCACCCCCCCGGTAACATAATTTTGTTAATGAAAAACCAAACTTGGCCTAGGTATACCAGCTAAGTCTTATCTATCTCTAGGAACACAAAAATTTGCCAAATTCTGCAAAATATCCTGAAAAATGGAAATTTTCCATTTGGGACACTTTTTTTGATACACCCTGTATATTAACATTATCGATAAGTAGTAACAGAGGCTTTTCATGTGGTTTCAGGGCTTTCACATGTTCATTTTTCTTTCCAAGCTGACTATCTAGAAACTTCATTAGTGTGTCCCAGTGGATAGTTAGACCACATTTGTTTAGCATATTAATCATGCGACAACCAGCACCATAAGAAACAAGCGTGATTGTGAAGAACAAGCAAATGTCATTTTTACAATGCCGATTCCTCAAACTTGTTAGCAAGGAAAGAGCATGTATTGCACACTTGGATTTCATATCGGTTAATTTATCAGGAAATAGGCTCTGAACAACGTCTGTTAACACGGGACATTCTTGAATGAAATTAAGTTTCAATTTTGCAAATGTCTCCCCTGTAATTTGTTCTTCAGGTGTTTGTAATCCACTACGAATTCCAAGGTTAACAAGAGTAGACAACTTCTCATATTCAGAGATCATGGCAGTTTTATCAGATGCAGACAGTTTCTGATCACTTTCCTTTTCCAAAAGCAGTTTTAACTCATGTTCATAAATGGCATCTATAGCATCTGTGATCCTTCCAATGCTTTCCATTTCCTGATTGTCCAGTTTCATGATAGTGCTGAGATAAACATTTTCACTTACCGACACATTTGACACAATGTCATCCATAAGTGCTTTCGCTTTTTGCTTATGAACTAACATATTTTGTTGCAATTCATAAATTTCAGTGTTTCTGCTTACTTGTAGAGATGTATTGTTTTGGCTTTCTGTTTCATTGCTAATCATGGAAAATGAAACAGATTTTCTTATATTTCTATACTGTTGTTGCTTTCGTTTGTCATATTTAACAGTAGGAAATGCTGACTTGACAGCTCTGGATGTCAGACTTTTGCTTTCAGTCCTTAAAAAGGTCATGACTTCAGACCTGTCCATTCTCTTATCAGGGCTTTCTACAAATTGTTCCTTCAGCTGTGATTGTAAAGCATCCTGCCTCTTTTTACATCTTTCACCATGGAGTTTTTTCTTCTTTGGTGGCTCAAATTCACTGAAATTATACACAGGCCGTTTGCCTTTAACTGGAGTGCTGGTAGTGGGTGGCTCAAAATCTTCTGCAACAACAACTGCATCTATATAGTAACATACCAAGTGTTGAGTAAAACATTTATAGTACCACACGATGCTGTTGTGGAATAAGCTGCATCTGGGTAGTAAAATATATACTAGAGTGTAGTATGACTGATCAGACGGTCACGGGAACAGCACGTCCTTTATTTGCTATATTTATTGCTATTTCTCAAAAAATGTTTCGAAATACTGATCGAATAGTGAAATGAGATGTTAAAAATCGATAAACCTTACCTTCCAAAGACAAATTTTGAAGCGAATCATTAAGTATATCCACATCGCTACCAGGGTCACCTTCGTCCAATCCAATGACTGTCAGGGCAAAGGTCAGCACCTTCATTTGCATTTTGCATTTAAATATTTTGTGTGTAATAAATAAATATACACAAATACCGACTTATTAAATATTTATGAAGTCACACTTGGCAAATGACGAAGTAAAACTCGCGGTTGCAAAGATATTTTGCGATGTCCCACATTTTCCCATGATGGGAAGGAAATCGAGCTAAATCAGGCAGAGGCTTTCTCTCCTCTCCCCTTTTCACTTCCCCCCCCTGCTTTTTCGTCCACCGCGAATCTCAAAGCTAGCGGTTTACCTTCGCGCCACTCAAAGCTAGCGGTTTACCTTCGCGCCACTGTCTAGCGCAATAAATCGAAAGGACAAAAGCCTCTGCGGAGGAGAGAGGGGCAAGGTCATGCTTCAATCAAACGTTTTTGTACTCATATGAATATGCCAGCCCCATTCCAGTATAAAGCGTATAGAGCCAATAACATTGCTCTTGCAAAAGCAGTAAAGTCTGTGGCCACAAAATCCATGTTAGATACTGCAGCTGAACTGTGTAAAGACACGGCACAACCAATAACACAATGTGCAGTGTCATGTGATGGAACCTGGCAGCGGCGTGGCTATTCTTCCTTGAATGGTTGTGTGACAGCATTGTCAATAGAAACTGGTAAATGCTTGGATGTAGAAGTTTTAACAAAGGTTTGCCATGGATGCCAAAGAATTGAGAAGGAAACTGATGCTGAGAAAAAGGCTGTCCTGAAAGCAAGGCACAAGTGCAAGGCAAACCACCAAGGTTCAGCAGCAGCAATGGAAACGGAGGGCGTGAAAAGAATTTTTAATAGGAGCGAAGAAACCTGACAAATGCAATACACAGAGTATTTCGGTGATGGGGATAGTAAGGCCTACCTTGAAGTGCAGGACTGCTACAAGGACATTGTTGTTGAAAAGAAGGAGTGTGTTGGCCATGTCCAGAAGCGTGTTGGCACGGAACATAAAGGTATTGGCGGTAAGGGTAAGTTGACCAACTCTATGATTGATAAACTCCAGAATTACTATGGCATTGCTATAAGAAGCAATTCTGGAGACCTGTCAGGGATGAGGTCAGCTATACATGCCAGTCTATTTCATTGTGTTTCTTCTGAGAAGAGGAACCTACACCATCATTGTCTGGATGGAGCTGAGAGTTGGTGTTCCTACAAGAGAGACAAAGCCAATGGTACAGCTTTGAATAAACCTGGAACTGGGCTTCCTAACAGCATCATAGCTTTGGTAAAACCCATTTATGCAAGATTGAGTAATGATGATTTGCTGAAAAAATGCCTTGATGGGAAGACACAAAACCAAAATGAGTCATTAAACGGTATGATATGGAACAAGTGCCCTAAAGGTATCTTTGTTGGTGGTGGTCCTGGACTTTGGGGTGTATGATGCTGTGGCTCATTTTAATATGGGCTCTAGAGCAGCAGCATATGCATCATGCACGAATTAGACTTGGAGCCTGGCTACTACTTTGAAGAGGGAACTAAAAAGGCTGATGACGTGCGGATTGGGAAGGCTAACCACAGAGAGAAAGCGAAGGTGAAAAAGCAAAGGAAGGTGAAAAAGCAAAGGAAGGTGTTACGTGGTCAGAAAAAAATAAAGAGGACAAAAATGAACAGAAAGAGGGCAAATTATATGAGCCAGATGGATATTGATAAAACTGTTGCCAAATATTGCCACTATACGGGCCTGTTCACACTACACTGTTAGATCGATCTGAGATCGATCCAAGACAAAGCATGCCTTGTGTGAACCTTCGCCGAAAATTTAGGATCGATCTCAGATCGATCTGAGTCAGTCCGCTTGAAAAGTAGGTCTCAGATCGATTCGAGATCGATCTTTGTCAAGTGTGAACATAATTGGATGGAAATTAAGTGAGTGTCTAGCTCCCATTCCCCAAAGTTTCCCGCCTTCGCGCGGGCGTCGCAGAATTTAATGAACGCTGCAGACTTTAGTTTTATATTATTCTTCTAATTGATTGTAAAATTCAGTGAAAAAGGTTGTTTTTTCGTCGAAAATGTCGAGAAAAAGAGATGTATGGTCTGATAAAGAAACTTTAGAACTCCTTGCGGCATGGGGGACTGAAGAAATTCAAAAAAAGCTTCAAGGGGTTCACAGAAACACGGATATCTATAAAAAAGTTAGCGAGTTGTTGAAAAAAAAGGAATAAATCGGGATTGGACGCAATGCCGAACAAAGTTAAAGCACTTAAAGTCAGCATATAAGAAGCACAAAGATAACTTATCGCGATCTGGGGCCGGAAGATGCAAGCAGCCCAAATATTTTGAAATGATGGACAGTTTTCTTGGTGATCGTCCTGAAGCCGAAGGACTAGAAAACAGCATCGACTCATCCGGTGACGCTCTTCCATCGGGTTCGGTTTCAGACATTTCAGATGGTGAGTTGATAATTATTTTTACGAGCTTTTTTAGACCATATTTGGACCTTTTGTTCTGGTTTCAATTGAGGTTTTTTAAATATTTAGCAGAAGACGACCTAGTGCAGAAGTATGGCGAGGGGAAGATGATTGAAAAGCAATGCCCTGAGTGTTACGAAAAGTTTGAATTGAGGACAGCTGGCACACACACTGGTAATAACAATACCTTGGCAGTATTCTGTGACGATGACCAAATGGTGTGCCCGTACTGTAATTACACAGAAGGTAGGGCAGTATTACAATAAAGGGATCGGATTTTGTACCAACTTAATAATCACATAGCAAGCAGAGAACAAATAGATAATAGGCCATTTCAGTTTTTATTCAAGGTCTTAACTCTGCGGTTCAGTAGAATAATGAATAAAAACACTCTCTGCTTACTTGAAAACTGTAGTTGATCAGGATGGTGAAAATAAGGAATCAACCAGCGGAATTGAGAAGCTTACAACTCCTGCACCTACCAACGATAAAGATGGCAAAACAACAACATCCAGTAAACGTAAATGGAAGAAAGAAAAACCCTCGAAAATGCAAGATGCATTTGGAAATGCAATTAAAGAGCACACTACTTGTATGCAAGAATCAGACAAGAAATTCTTGTCTGAAATACGGGAACAAGCAGAAAAAGAAAGAGAATTACGGAAAGAGGAGCTTGGTACCTTTAAAGATGCAATGGCACTTCTTGCAAGTGCCGTTGCAGGAAGAGCACAACCAGTGTCAACCACCTTTCCACCCTATACCTTTGCAACATGATATAAACATTGAAAACCAGCCAACATATTTTAAGCTTTAATTGAGCATTAACATACTGTTTATACTATTGTATGCACTTATACATTTTTGTTGATCATTGATGTTAATTAATGAAGTTACACATTTACGTTATTGTTATTATTAATTTCTTTTTATAAGGAATTGGTCTACTGATTGCCTCAGTTTTCTTTAGTGTAACTGTCTATTTGAGGTACTCAAACTGTTATACATAAACTAATTACTACAACATGAATTTGTTCAAGTAAATAAATCCTTCTTAGTTTGTTATGAAATATTCTTTAATTGAGGTTCTTATCTCTTCTGCATTAGCATCATTTACTTGGTAGACAGCATCAACAGTTTCATCATCATTAGCAATAGGCTTAAGTTCATCATTAGCAATAGGCTCAAGCATATCTTCCCTCATCTCACATATATTATTGAGCACACAGCATGCTGCAACTTTGCTTGGTAGGTATTGCAAACTTGTATAGCTTTTGCTAAGCAGGCATCTAAATCTGTTCTTCAGCCGTCCAAATGCGCATTCCACCACTTGTCGTGCTCTGCTTAGACGATAATTGAATGTCTTCTGATCTTGATGAAGATTACCATCATTTGGATATCGCTTCATTAGCCAAAGCAAAAGTGGATATGCTGGATCTCCAATTAACATGACTGGTACATCGCACCCACCTATGTTCATGGTTATCTAATATAGGACAAACACATTGTATTTAAATAATAACAAACCCACAATTTAACTGCTCTAATAAAGTACTATGTACTTTATGTGTAATAAAGTACTTTTCAAGGCAAAATTATGTTGGTCAACAAAATATGCTACTTACATCATCAGGAAAAAGTTGCCCAGTTTCAGCCCTACTAAATACAACAGAATTTGCCAATATCCGTGCATCATGGACCCTTCCAGGCCATTTGATGTTTATATCAGTAAACCTATTAATGATCAACATAAGTACTCATGGTTAAAAGATAATAGTTATAAATAATTGACTGGTTCACAGCATAGTTTCAAAGGCAGTTTGCTACCAGTGAATATGAACATGACTATAATGAATGGAATCAATGGATTGTTAACTTGGTGAAATATTTCCTCATACCTGAACACATGATCAACCACAGCCTTCAGAAAAATGGAATAAAACCCCTTCCGATTATAATAATCGGCTGATAATTGTGGTGGGGCAACAATAGGCCTAGGATATGTGTGCCATCGATCGCTCCAGCACACTGAGGGAAACCCCAGATCTGGTGAAAAGGACAGTACGCAGGGTTTCACCTGTTGGCAACTTAATAACCCTAGTAAGTAGCGTGTCTACAATTGCTTGGCAAACATCATGAACAATTTTGCACACTGTGCTTTTTCTAACCCCAAAGCGCCATGCTAGAGAACGTAGATCTTCACCAGTGGCCAAATGCCATAAGCAAATTCCCACTCTTTTTTCAACAGATATCGCTTTTCGGAAGCTTGTGTCTTGACGTGAAAGATCGCCAGATATTCTGTGACACAAAAAATCGAAAGTCTTCTTTCCAAAGAGCAACCGTTTTTTCCCAAAATGATCCAATGCATTTACTTTCTTGAACCCAAAACCGTCGTTCAGAGAATGATCTGCTATACAGTCTCGAAAATACAAGAATAGCACAGCTTCTCTCTTTTTAACGTTTCTTCTCCATTGACTTAATGTCTTCAAATATTTCCTCCTTAAGCATATACGTCTCTTTTGGATATTTTTTTTGTAATTTGTTGTAAAAGCCAAAGCGACAGAAATGATCTCTGCCGTCTCGTCTGCCGCCATCTTGTTTCAGAACCTGACCTCTTACGATGTTTTTCCAAAGAGATCTGAATTAAAAAAAAATAAAATAGGACCAGGTTTGCCGAGGCAGTGTGAACAGGCAAAAAATACGTTAAAATCGTCCTGAGATCGATCTGAGATCGATCCGGCCAAATCGATCTCAGATCGACCATAGTGTAAACAGACCCTACAGTTGTATTCTGTGAGGTAAACACAACATTTCACCTTAAATGTGTTTTTTTCAAATATATAAAAACACTGTATTCTTATACTTGTATGCAAGATATCTGAAAAAGTATTGAAGTTATGTTGATGAAATTTTTTACAGTAAACTAATCATATCCTCCTCTAGGAGCCCTACCAAAAACATTAATTTGTGATTACCGGTTACCGAGTTACAGCATGGTTGCACGGGTCGCACAGGTTCATTTCGCGTATTACCAGTATAAAATTTTTGTTATGCAACCATGGGTAATGATCTTGGTACAGCTCTTAGCTATTATTATTGGTAAAAAAATAAAAGTTATTTCATATTTTTGTTACAAATGCTTCTCTAGTAATCATGCATACAAAATTACCCGTATTTCACCATAGGGGGTATCGTATCTTGGTAACTATACCACTGTTCATTTTGCTAAATGTATTTTTGGAGTCAGGAGACTCTACCTAATAACAACATACTTGAATGCCACAGTGGCAATAGACAGAAAAAAATTTTTTTGGTATTGGACCCCCAATTAACTAAAACCTTCAAAAAACGTTTGTCTGGATTAGACCATTAAACAAATAGTTAGGGTGCATTGATGCTCAATGCCAATGTGTGAATGTTTATGTCTGCATACTGTATAATACGTAATACTTTCTTGACCAGAAATACATGCATGCAGCAACCCCTCGCCTTGGTTAAGCGAAATGAGTTAAGCCTAGGGATGGTAACATGATAGTTGGAAAATTTTTGTGTGGGTTGTGGTGTTTGGAGGGTACTTGGTATTGTTGGTATGTGAGAAGAGAAGAATGGAAATATATTTCTGGAAGCGGAAGTACTGTAGTCATAGCAACTCGCAACCAACATCGCAACGGCGGTATATGGTCAAAGAATCAAAGTTTGCCCTCATATTTTTGTGCAAAAAAGCAAAAATACGACAAGTTTCTAACCATTTTCTCGAAGTTAAGTTACTCGTCTATAGTCACTGTTATGGTAAATTATTTAATTATTAATTACCATGAAATATAACATCAGACGTCTCATACGACTTCTGAAGTCTTATGTTTATGATTCGACTGGTTTTTGCAATAAATGAAATTATAATGTCATCTATCACATTACCCATTCAGATTTGTAGTGAAATACGTTTGAGAATACTAAAGTTGTGTTTACCACAAGAGAATGACTTTTTATATCTGTGCCGGGTCTTATTTTCATGTGTAAAATCTTTCGACTTCATTATACACGGTGAATTCGCTCGAAAATTTTTTTTTTTTTTGTTAAACCGTAAAAAGTCCTCACCACATTCGACTGATTCTAGTTTCCCTCTGATGTAATTAAAAAAAAAAAATAAAAAAAAAAAAATTATATATATATATATATTCCATATTTATGAAAATATAAATAACATGAAAATAAATTTATAAGTTTCTTCAAAATTTTGCTAAATGACAGTTATGCAGGTTTAAAAATACAAATATTTGTCTCGACCAATCAAGAGCTTAGTACACTGGCGTATGCGCATAACGTAGAAGACCGTCCATGGCGTGAGGTCCATTGCATAATGGCGGACAACTTTGATTTCGCCTTTGCACATCCTGGGTGTAAATATCCGAGCGGAATTAGTACCCTCGCACGGTGCTCGGCACCGGCTCGGGGATAAATTTCTAGGAATGGAAACGAAGGGGGCAACAAATGAGAGAGGACATGGACTGTGGCCTTGTGGAGCATGTATATGCTAAGTGCTCAAGAAGATTTGGAAGGGCAAAGGATTTAGCCTACCACAAAAAGCAGTGTGTGAATTGTCTCTGTAGCAACTGTGACAAGCAATTTTCATGTGGAAAAGTCTTAAAACGGCACAACGACACAGTCATACCCCATAAAATCGTTGTGGAATTTGTGAAAAAACATTTGCTTCTAAGCAATCATTGGAAAGACATGATAGCAAACACACAGAGGTAAAAAAATACGTCTGTAAAAAATGCTAAAGTAGATTTATATTAAAGTCAAACCTACACAGGCCTAAAAAGAATTGTCAGTAAAAACAAACAGTACAATTACCATAGTACATCAATTTGTGAAAATATAATGGCCTCTTTATATACTCAGGCTAGTTACATACATTTTAATTCATATTTTTATTTTGATACATTTTAATTTTAACTATTATTGTTAAATGACAAACTTTTGTAATTTGTTGTATTTTAAGACGAATCCTGTAAAATGTTTTCTTGGTTTCTTCTATCATCACATGCAAAGTTATTTAAATGTTTTGATTTTTTATCCATTTGAAACTTTAAGTAGCTAGATTTGATAATTATATATAAAAATCTATAAAAGTTCAACCATGTTGGAGATGTTTTAGCATGAGTGTTACTGGTAGTTTGAGGAAAAGATCTAGTCTTTCGACTCATAGCAACAAGTTCTAGCAGACATTGTTCTGCTAGCTTTCTTAGAGACCTGTTCGTTTTGTCTAAAATTATGATCAAATTGTTGAAGCCGTTTCGCTCTTCCAGGTTTCAATAAAAACGGATTTCTTTTTGAAACTTGCCCTTTTGGTTGCTTTGCTCTATTTCCTGATTCTAGCTTCCTTCGTTTCACTGCTTCTGGTTGGGCATGAATTTTACCCCGCATTGCTCTTTTGACAATTGATGTCGTGGTTACTCTTGAGTGTGTAACCCCAGCCGCACCAAAAGTGTAAAAACAGCTAGTCAGCTTCAGAAAAGGCATTTTTAGACTCTGTCAGCAAACTTCAAAATACTACTACTAATAATGTGTATGATAAATAAGTTGATTTGAAGCATCCAATCGTGACTCTTTGGAGTTTACAGCTTCTGCAATAGCCTGCTTGCATTCGTCTTTAGATATCATCTCTTGAGGTTGGTTTCTTCTTTGCATTGGCTTTGCTGTGGACTCATGGCTGTCATCCTCAACCTGAATACAGATTCAAATTGATGTTTAAATTGATAATTTAGGTTCAG